TTTGACAAGGCTGCTTCAGCAGCGACTTTGTAGATGAGGGGGGCCTGGGCCCGGGATTTCATTGACCTGCCTGGGACTCTCTTTCAGTGGTGGTTTTCATCAGTGTTGGTCTGGCTGTCCTTGTGGCGGCTCCAGCATTGGTCTGTGACTCCATGCGGCTTTTCTTCAGCATCATGGGGGTCCGGCCCAGGATTCCAATGAACATAAGAACTTAAGAACTAGGAGCAGGAGTAGGCCGTCTGGCCCTTCGAGCCTGCTCCGCCATTCAATAAGATCATGGCTGATCTTTTCGTGGACTCAGATCCACTTACCCGCGTTCTCACCGTATCCCTTAATTCCTTTATTGTTCAAAAAAAATCTACCTTTTCTTTAAAAACGTTTACTGAAGTAGCGTCAACTACTTCACTGGGCAAGGAATTCCATAGATTAACAACCCTCTGGGTGAAGAAATTCCTTCTCACTTCAGTCCTAAATCTGCTCCCTCTAATCTTGAGGCTATGCCCTCTTGTCCTAGCTTCACCTGCCAGTGGAAACATCCTCTCTACTTCTATCTTATCTATTCCCTTCATAATTTTATATGTTTCTATAAGATCCCCCCTCAAATGGGGATGTTGGGTCCTCGAATCCAGAGCCATAAAATGGACTAAGATGGACTTTGTTTTAAATTCACTTTTTTTTTTAAAAGCTTTCTTTCTTTATAATATTATATTCATGTGGAAGGACTGCTAATCTGAACCTTTTATTTATTTTTTCTAATTTATCACTATGATTTTGTACTTTTGAAGGTCTGTAATGCCAGACTTTTTATTTCTTTATTCTTCTATTTCTTTTCCTAAGAATTTGTACTCAAGAATCTGTACTTAGGAACCTTTGTACCTAGGATGGCACCTAAGCGGCAACTTCTAAACTTTTCACTTTCAATAAAGCTAATGCTAATTCTCCTGTTTGTCTGAATGAAGGGACACATACAATAGTGTTTCCCAATGTTTGTAAATAACAGAAAATTATGAAATGTTATAAATTCTGAAGAGGACATAGACCATCTGATCAAATGGATAGGCATATGACAGATGAAATTTAATGCGGAAAAGTGTAATACAACACATGTTGGTAAGAAGAATGAGGTGTGTCAAGTGAACAAAATTTTAATTGTGAGCAGGAACAGCAGGCTCTGGGGCATATATGAACAAATTCTTGAAAGTGGTAGGAAAGGTTGAGAAAGCCATTAATATTGAATCCATGGTTTTATTAATAGAGGAAGAGAGTGAGGAACCTTTGCTAAATCATTGTAAAAAACTAGTTAGGTCTCAGTTGGAGTATCATACTGCGGATGGTGCAGAAGAAGTTTATGCGAATGGTATCAGGGATGAGCTCCTTTATTTCAGTGGAGGGATTGGAGAAGCTCAAGTTTCTCTCCTAAAAGCAGAGTAGTTAAAGAGGGGATTTGTTACTGCAGTTCAAAGCAAGAACAGAGTCAATAAGGAAACCATTAACAAAGAACTTGGCTGATGGTTTTAAAAGACACATTTTTGGTAAAACATTTCATCTTCCATTCATGAGGATAATTCACAAGAACTACCAATCCAAAGGGAAAATAACATTTTCATACAGTCTAAAATGTTGTCTCCCCTTTGCATTGGTAATTCTTGCCAATTCCTGATGCATGCATGATGAAAAGCTTCAACAAATGTTTTTTTTAGTAATACTTAAGTAAATAAAGAGAAACTGCAGAAAGCTTGATAACCAGAGGACATAGATTTACAATAAGTGACAAAAGGAAACAGAGGTGACATGAGGAAACATAGCTTTCCACAGAGGGGTATGGTCTGGGAGGGTACTGCCTCTGAAAGGCTGCCAGAAAGAGATTCATGTGATAACATTTAACAAAGAGAAGAGAATAAAGGGGGAAATGGTGGGTAGACTGGTAACAGGCAAGTTTATCCTGGGGCACAAACTAATGTTCTGAGGACATAGGTTTAAATCTTACCATGGAAGCTGATGGACCTTAAATACAATTCATAAATCTGCAACCAAAAGCTACCATTAATTGTCAGGAAAAACCTATTCGGTTCACTCAATGCCTTGACAGAAGCAAATCTATTGTCTTTACCTGCTCTGGTTCAAGACCCACTGCAATGTGATTGACTTGTAACTGTCCTCTACAATGGACTAGCAAGCCACTCCATTCAGGTGAACTTAGGGACGGGTAACAAACGCTTGTGCTATCAGCAATCCCTACATCCTGTGAAAGATTAATATTTGAAGGGAAAAGACACCTTACTAGGTTGTGGGAAAAGAGCAGGGCACTGGAACAAATTAAATAGTTCTTCCAAGGAGCTGACACAGTCAGAGCGGGTTCCTTCTGTGTTGCATCACTCCACAATTCTATAATTTACAATTGCATTGCCAACACACAAGCTTCAATCACAGTATCAGTATACTCAGGTCAGTCAAATTAAAATTACAGCTGTCACTGGCACTCTCAGTAAAGCAAAATCATTAAAATAAGAACAATAACATTTACAGACTGCAGCAACTGTCACAAGACCATGCATCCAGGAATAGCAGAGTTGGCAATCTCCATACAGCAAATGAAACAAGAAGTCAGATTACCTAGTGCCAGCAATTCCTAACAGTGCACACATCTGGCATACAAGCCATCAGCGTCACAATTGTTCAATTATTGTACTTCATGCTTGCCAGGCATCAGCACTAGTGGCTCTGAGCGTCATATTAAAGTCCCTGTTGAGAGATTTAACATCTTATTTATAGATTGTTTTCCCAGCAGATTTGTAAAGGCTGCTGAAACCAGATATAGATGTTCAACCAGCCACCTTTGTGCAATTTATTTGGGTTTCCCAAATATAACTGTTTGAAAGGCCAGGCGCTAGGCAACTAGAATTGCAAAATTGGTTGCGTACACCCCCTGAGATTTCAAACCCCAAACTACTACTTTGGCAAACTGCTCAACAATGCACTTTTTAAATTTGAGCTTATTTTTTAAACTAGCGCAGTCTCTCAATCATTCTGAAACATAGCCAGTAATTTCTCACTTTCCAAACACTGAGCTGAAAACAATGTAAAATCCTCTCCTAACTTTAGAGTTGATGCAATAGAATGAAAAGAAATTATGATTAAACTGATAGTATGGATCCAAATCTATTTGATGGTTTAATTACACAGGTAGAGCAAGAGCAAAATATAACCTCCAATGATTTTCTGTACATAAAAGGAGACACAATAGAAGCTGGTCTTTCATAAGATAACTCAACATCCATTTGCCTTTGACTGATTCCCTACCTAAGCTCTTGGAAGGATTAAATTGCCGCATTGATGATTACTCTGTCCCTTCACCGTTCTGGCTACAGTGCCTTCACTGCATTTTCTTTTTCACAAGATGTAATGCTTCATATCTTCCTGCATTGAACTTCACTGGATATTTATCTGCCTGCTTATATTTATGAACCCTTACAATCATGCTTTTTTTTCTTGCAGCTCACCATCCAACAATTTAATATTATCAGTGAGCTTTGACAGCAATTACTTTGTAACTGTGTCCAAGTTATTTACATAGAAGTAAAACAAAAAGGCATTGTCTTTTTTTTAATATAGAATTCTTGCTACTGTGCTGTAAAACTGCTCAAGAGGATCAACTACCTGTTATGTAAACTACCATATTAACTTTGAATGGAATAGGGTGGTTTCTATAAGGGACTGTCGATTTGCAACAATAAGTTTACACATCAGGCAACAGGTTGAAGATCTATCCCCATCACACCCTGAATGCATTCAACAGCTTTAGTGTTAAAGCAATATCTTCAAAAATGGAAAATGCCATAATTGTTTTATTTGGTTCCTTATCTTCTAAACATGGCTCACAACACAGACCTGCTGCTTGTGAGTGCAAGCAGGATGGCAGGTTAGCTACCGATAACACAGTGCGGAGCTGGATGAACATAGCAGGCCAGGCAGCATCAGAGGAGCAGGAAAGCTGACGTTTCGGGTCAGGACCCTTCTGCAGCATTGCTCAGAGCACTGAGTGCAGGAGTTGAGATGTCATGTCATGGCTGTCCAAGACTTTGGTAAGGCCACATTTGGAGGACTGCTTCCAAATCTGGTCGCCCTGCTATAGGTAGGATGTTATTAAACTGGAAATGGTGCGAAAGAGATTTATAAGAATGTTACTGATCTGGAAAGTTTGAATTATAAAGAGAGGCTGGGACTTATTTTCCCTGGAGCGTAAGAGGCTGAGGAGGCATCAGAGGAGCGGAAAGGTTAAACTAATGCCCTGTAGTTTTGGACTCCCCTACCCTGGGGTAAAAGATCTTGGCTTTTGCCTTATCTGTGCCCCTCATGATTTTATAAACCTCTATATGGTCACCCCTCAGCCTCCTGCACTCCAGGGAAAATAAGTCCCAGCCTCTCCTTATAACCCAAACTTTCCAGATCAGTAACATTCTTATAAATCTCTTTCGCACCATTTCCAGTTTAATAACATCTACCTTTGGCAGGGCAACCAGAGTTGTACGCAGTTCTCCAAATGTGGCCTTACCAATGTCTTGGACAGCCATGACAGGATGTCGCAACTCCTGCACTCAATGGTCTGAGCAATGAAGGCAAATCTGCCAAGTGGCTTCTTCTTCACCCTGCCTATACGTATTGAAAGATTGTGAAGTACATTACAATCACCTGCCTTGGGTAGCCAGAATTAATGAACTCTTATTTTCAACCTTCATCCCTCAGCTCATCATATTTCTCAGTAACCTGACAAGGAAATCTCGTCAGCATTGCTTAGACCAAGGAACATCAATGAAACTTGTAACAGGGACACCAATACAAAAATTAAAACAAACATTAACCTTATCACAAATCAATCTACCTAAGTTCTTCTAAGCATGACTTTGAATTTAATTACTCTGCAATTACCAAAGGATATGCATCCATTATGAAAGCTACGCATGTTGCAAAATCAAATCAATAATTATATTGGAAAAGGATACATGTGTTTTCCAATGGTGAAACAGTTACCATTTGTCTACGATTGCCATGTCCTGGATATGAGCTAAACAAAACCTGAAATAATTAGAAAATGAAGCAGTTGTAAACTATTTTCAATTCAGCTCAAAGACCAGCAGCAATTAAAATAGCTTATATTTGTAAGGCACCTTTAACATAACAAACTTCCAAAGGTGCTTCACAGGAATGTTCCACTTCTTGCTCTTTTATGTCCGAAGATACCTCACCCACAGCACCAGTAACGGCAGGAGGGAAGTGATAAATCCACCCCAGAGAGAACAAGGAGCAAACCCCTAAGACCATAAGATGTAAGAGCAGAATTAGGCCATTCAGCCGATGAAGTCTGTTCCTCCATTCGATTAAGGCTGATATGTTTGTCAACCCTAATCTCCTGCCTTCTCCCCATAACGCATGATCCCCTTGCTAATCAAACATCTATCTGTTGCTATCTTAAATACATTCAATGATTGGCCTCCGCAGCCCTCTACGACAATAAGTTCTACAAATTCACCACCCTCTGGCTGAAGAAATTTCTCTTCATCGCAGTTCTAAAGGGTCATCCCTTCACTCTGAAGCTGTGCCCTCAGATTCTGGTCTCTCCACTAGTGGAAATGACTTCTCCATGTCCACTCTAACCAGGCCTCTCAGTATTCTGTAAGTTATGCAATTGGGATCTATCTGATCCCAACTGGCTCACCAGCAGATAGCCACCAATGATGAGAAACTGGTATAAAAAGGAGGGTTTGCTCTGATTTGGCTCTGAATTGGTCATTCTCTTGGTAGCTGTATATCAAGACTGAGGAGGTTACACATGTTCATGTGGGTAAATTATACTCCATGAAAAAAGTGATAGAAGGACATCAAGCTGAATACTGGTGATCAATTTGAATTTGGGCAGTGGATATTTAGGGTCTGAGTGTCAAAGTGGGCATGGACCAATCAGACTAGCCAGAATGCAACACGCGGTAGATTTTGACTTCAGGCTGAATTTAAATCCTCCAAAACTGACTCCTGTCTAAAGCCATTGAGAATTGCCTAAAATGTGGCAAAGTGTTGAAACATCACCAGTGTTTCACACAAAATATTCCAGCCACTGAGGAAGGAGGATGATTGGTAATAATACAGAAACATGGGGAATGAGGTAGTGGGCAACGGAAGAGATGAGGGAGAATCCTAGAAAGGCGAAGGCCAATGGATCCTTGGGAACATTCCTGTTCAACTTAGCAAGAAGGTTTTCATCTCAAAGTTATGTTTTGAAACCTACCTCATCCTATTCCGGCCTCTCTGGGGTTTATATTGTATTTGAGATGTGAGGATTGACTCCTTGTGATTCGATCAAATGGGAAGTTAAAACATTGTTGCAATGCAGCCAAGAATTTAAGATATAAATTAGGCCATTGCTTGCCTTTAGTAAGAATCTCAGCTGCCTTTAAAGAAAGAAATGTAGATTGATTGATTGATTTGTTCGATTGATTTATTGTGACGTGTACCAAAATACAGAACAGAGGGACCTAGGGGTTCAGGTACATAATTTCTTGAACTTTGCATCACATGTAGACAGGGTGGTTAAAAAAGTGTTTAGCACACTTGCCTTGATTGCTCAGTCCTTTGAGTATAGGAGTTGGTACAGAACGTTGGTGAGACCTCTTCTGGAGTACTATGTCCAGTTCTGGTTGCCCAGTTATCAGAAGGTCACTGTTAACCTACAGAGGGTTCAGAAGAGATTTACCAGGATGTTGCCAGGTTTGGAAAGTTTGAGTTATAAGGAAAGTCTGGATAGATTGGGGCTTTTTTTAATTGGAGTGTTGGGAGGGTTGAGAGGTGATCTTACAGAGATTTATAAAATCATGAGGGGTATAGCTACAGTTAATAGTAGATGTCCCTTTCCTAGGATGGGGGATTTCAAGACTAGGAGGCACATTTTCAAGGTGAGAGGAGAGAGATTTTACAAAGACATGAGCAGCAAATTTTTTACAACGAGGTTGGTTCATGTGTGGAATGAACTTTTTGAGGAAGTGGTAGATGTGGGTACAGTTACAATGTTTAAAAAACATTTAGGTAAGTACATAAATAGGAAAGATTTGGAGAGATATGGGCCAGGAGCAGGCAGGTGGGACTAGTTTAGTTTGGGATTATGTTCAGCATGGACTAGTTGGACCGAAGGGTCTGCTTCTGTGCGGTATGGCTCTATGACTCTATGAAATGTCAGCAGGAAGGTTTGTCTGTTTCTGTATTGATAAATGGTCTTAGATTATCTTAACTCATCCCAAGAACCATTTTCACTAACTCAGAGTTAAACAGTTAACTCTGTTTCTCCTCTAATGATGCTGCCCAACCTGTTGAGCATTTCCCGTACTTTCTAGTTTTATTTCAGATTCCCAGCATCTGCAATACTTTGGGCTTGTGATTTTGTACACCTTAATCCAGATGTTAACCTAATCATTTAGCTTTCAATCAGATAGCAAAGAAATTAATATAATTCATAATAAAGTGATTAATATCTGTACTAATTCCACTTTGTTATTTTAATAGATATCATACAGATGCCATTACTACAGCAGAAGAAATAATGCTTTATCAATTAACATATCACCAACAGTAATTTCAAATTTCTAAGCCTATTGTTATGATCCCAGTTGATGTTGTGACTAAACAAGTCAGATCCCAGAATTAAATTTGGCTTGATAGATCATTTTTAAAAAGTTAACATGGCAGTCTTTTGCTGAAAACGTAAGTACACAGGCTGCAGATTTGATTTTAAATAATAAAACAGAAGTTTATTACATAAAAGAAATAAAACTAAAGCTAAAGCAAACGAAGCTATCTAAACACAAAACAGGTTAAAACATTTCAAAATATTTGAAAATGAAGACTCATTCACTCCTCAACACAATCACTTCACAGTTAATTGAAATCAAGAGAAATTTTCCTACCCTATCAAATTTGTAAGTTTAACTTAACTGCATCTTCTCAGTTCCAGCTGTGCTGTTTCAGCTGTGAGGTCTTTTCCTTTAACTACCCACAGAACTAAGAACTTAAAGTCATAGAGTTGTACAACATGGAAACAGACCCTTCAACCCAACACGTCCATGCTGACCAGATATCTTAAACTAACCTAGTCACATTTACCAGCATTTGGCCCATATCTCTGTGACCCTCTTCCTAAACACATACCCATCCAGTTACCTTTTAAATGTTGGAATTGTATCAGCCTCCACCACTTCCTCTGGCAGCTGATTCCATACACGCACCACCCTCTGCAAAGTTGCCTCCTAGGGCCCTTTTAAATCTTCCTCCTCTCACCTTAAACCTATGCCCTCTAGTCTTGGACTCCCCTACCTTGGGAAAAAGACTTTGGTAGTTCACCCTATCACTGCCCCCTATGATTTTACAAACTTCTATAAGGTCACCCCCCAACCTCTGATGGTCCAGGGAAAATAGCCCCAGCCTATTCAGCCTCTCCCTATAGTTCAAACCCTCCAGCCCTGGCAACATCCCTGTAAACCTTTTCTGCACTGTTTTAAGTTTAACAACATCTTTGCTACTGCAGGGAGGCCAGAATTGAATGCATATTCCAAAAATGGCGTAACCAATGTCCTGTTCACAAATTTGAGTAACCAGCGCACATTTCACAAACAGCACTCTTTTATTGAGATAACTTATTTGCTTAACTGTTCGGAACAATCACCTTGCTCAGAGAAACTATACTTGCATCTGACTTCAGTCAGGTCTCTGTCAACTGAACCCAAAAGCTTTGAACCTTTTTCTTTACATTTAACTTACTTATCTTAGACACTACCACAACTAATAGCTTAAAAGTTTTTCCCTCTGCTGTCTGTAAGCTCCCACAACATAAACAAACTTACATAAACACTCCAGGGCCTTTCACAGTCACCTACTTTCAGACACACACTGGTTTAAGATCTGACCCAGTGACTTATTAAACGTGTTCACAGACCAACCCAAATATGGTAATAATTTGAAACATGTTCTCAACAGTGCCTCATTTTCTGCTTAGCTACGTTAGAACCTATAGGCACAGATACTGACTTCAACGACTTCCAAGCATGAACACTGTCCTTCATCTCGATGACAGACCTTTCCGCTTCCTCACAATGTCTTGGTGGATAGATTTGCTGTCAGCAAAGCTGTCCAATTTTCTACTATTCACCTACCATAGACGTCTATTTTGGATATCTATATTTCCATATTGCTCCTTTGCTGGAATTAAGACAGTCTTTGTTTTTTTCTCTGGATGCCTTCAACATCTGATCCACTCATTCCTCTTCGTACTTGGTTGGCAGCCTTATACTCGGGCCCCGAAGAAGATACAGCCTGACCTGTTAAGTTTCTCCATTGTGTCTGCCGGATTTCTTTTTTTGTGTGGGACTCTGGACTATGTGCCCAGTGACATTACCATGAGGTCACCACCTGCCTCATTCATTAAAACCACACAACACTAACATATTGCAATTCTATATCACTTTTTCCATAGTAAAACATTCAAAGTGGCTTCACAGGAGCATTATTAGACAGCACAGAGATATGGTGAATAACTTCTATTTCCAAAGCATAATGCCCATCTGGCAGCAAATAACAGTGGCCTTGATTAACTAGGTTTTGTGCTCAGTCTCTGTTTTTACCCACGAGACTGCATATATGAAAGCTTTGTAAAGCTATCTCTACATGAAATAATGGGAAATGGATCACCTACTGAGCAAATAACAACAAAGATGAAGAGACTGGAAGTCTTCAGAACTCTTAAAACACATCTGCAAAAAAAAACAAATCAAAGAGGTGTAAATATAGACACAATCAACATTTAAGAGTCTATACTTAACTGACTGTGATTGACAGTAATATGGTTCGGATTTGGCTTTCAAGGGAGGCACATAATCATAAATTTTACAAACATACAATGATTATTCTGATCTAGAAACTTAGAAATTGGAGTTGGCCATTCAGCATCTTGAACATATTCTATCAGTTAAGGAGATCATGGTTGAAATGTAGGGAAATCAAAGGTTACAGAAAGAGTAGGAAAGTGGACGTGAGCAATATCAGATCAGCCACGATCCTATTGAATGGCAGAGTAGGCTTAAGTGGCCAAATGGCCTACACCTGTTCTTATTTGTTATGGTCTTATTAGAAGCTCCACAAGTGCACCTTTCCCCTTCATTCCTTAATACCTTATATTAACAGAAATCCATTAAGTCTTAAAAGTACAACCATTCTAGCACCTATTGCCTTTTGTCAATAAAAGCTTCAAAAATCAACACACATGTTTGGCAGAATTTAATGTCCTCCCCAAAACATTTTTTAAATTCATTCGTGGGATATGGATGCTGCTGCATGGCTTAGTATTTATTGTCTGTCCCTCGTTGCCCTTGAGAAGGTGGTAATGAGCTGCCTTCTTGAAACACTGAAGTGCATTTGTTGTAGGTAGTAGCACAATGTGATTGGGCAGGGTGTATTCCAGGATTTTGACCCAGTGACATGGAAGGAACAGCAGTGTATTTTCAAGTCAGGATAGTGCACAGCTAGGAGGGGAACTTGCAAGTGGTGGTGTTCCCATGTATTTGCTGCCCTTGTCCCTCTGGATGGTAGTCGTCGTGGGTTTGGAGAGTACTGCCACAACAGTCTTGGAAAGTTTCTCGAGTGCATCGTGTAAATGGTACACATTACTTTTACTGAACGCTGTGGTGAACCTTTGTGGATGTGGTATCAATCAAGCAGGCTGCTTTGTCCTGGATGGTGTCAAGTTTCTAGAGTATTGTTGGAGCTCTATTCATCCAGGCAAATGGGGAGTGTTCCATCACACTCCTGATTTGTACTTGCAGATCATGAACAGGCTTTCGGAGTCAGGAAGTGAGTTACTCACTGCAGGATTCCTAGCTTTCGACCAATCCTTGTAGCCGCAGTATTTATATGGTTGGTCCAGTTCAGTTTCTGGTCAATTGTAACCCCAGGATTTTGATTGCTGGAATTTCAGTGATGGTAATGCCATTGAATGACATGGGGTAATGGTTAGATTGTTTCTTATTAGAGGTGGTCATTGCCTCGCCTTTGGCATGAATCTTACTTTCCACTTTTCAGCCCAAATCAATCCACAACCAAACTTGCTGCATTTGGACATGGACTCCTTCTGTAACTGAGGAGTTGTGTTTAGTGCTGAACATTGCACAATCTTCAGCGACCATCCCCACTTCTGACATTATGATGGAGGGAAGGTCTTTGATGAAGCAGCTGAAGATGGTTGAGCCTAGGACATTACCCCAAGGAACTCCTGCAGGGATGTCCTGGAGCTGAGATGACTGACCTCCAACAAACACAACCATCTTCCTATGTGCCAGGTATGATGCCAACCAGCAGAAGGTTTTGCACTATTCTCTTCCCATTGGCTCCAGTTTTGCTGGGGCTCCTTGATGCCACGCTCTAGTGAACATTTGTTGCACTTCCTCTACGGCAATAACATCTCTCCTGAGATAAGTAGAACAAAACTGCACACAATAACTCCCTTTTGAAAGCTCCACTAGTCCCTCAGGCAATACATTTCAGACCTCAACCGCTGTGTGAAAATATTTTTCCTTCTGCCATTTTTCACTTCTTTGATAATTAGTTTCGGTGTGTGTCATTTCATGCTTGATTCTGTCATGAGTCTGATAGTTTCTCTCTGTATCTCTCTGTCCAGAACACTGACAATCTTCAATTCATCAACGAAAACTCCTTTAAGTCTTCTCGTCTCCAAGGAAGACTGTCCCAATTTCTTCAATCTACCTTCAAAACTAAAGCTCCTCATCCCTGGAATCATTCTTGTACGTTCACACGTAACACAAAAATTGGCAGTGTGGTAAACAGTAAGGTGGAAAGCCTTAGATTGCAGGATGATATAGATGGGCTGGTCAGATAGGCAGAACGTGGAAAATGGAACTTAATCCAGAAAAGTGTGAGGTGATGCATTTTGGGCCATCTAAAAAGCAGGGGAATACAGGATGAATGGAAGGACCCTAAAAAGTACAGAGGCACAGAGGGACCTTCATGTGCATGTCCAAAAATCCTTGAAAGCAGCAGGATAAGGTCATTAAGAAGGCATTGTCTTTTTTTATATTTACAAAAAGCTTGAAGCTAAGAATATTGCTTTAATAATTGTGGCCTTTATCTTCTGTTAATTCAAATTTTCTCTCTCTTTCTCTCATTCTCTCCCTCACTCACACGTGTGCACGCATATAACTGTAGTCTTGAACTGTTCAAAAGGTGATTACAGATGCTCTTAGTTTGACATCTTATTTTACCCTGAGACACAGGCTGTATTCCCAGCAGTTTAACAAAATCATTATGTTCATCCTGTAACCAGCTCCTGCTTCACAATTGGTTCATTCCCATTTTGCACTTGCTCAACACTTCCCCACCAAGCTGGCCCTTACCTAAACATAATTATATTTCTCCATCACAGCCTGTAGCTATTACATCGAAGAACAAGCAAATCTAGCTCATTACACTTCCTTGCTGATCCATCTCTCGGTGGAATAAAAGCTGCCTCAGAACGCAATTGGTGAAATCTAATACTCAGCAGTTATTTTCAGCTTGGAAGTCACAGGACTGTTCTCCTTGCTGATAAGAGTTTTGTTGGCTGAAAAACCTATTTGTTCAAGGTTATTCAGCATTTTCCTTGCTATGAAGCTATGAGTATCTCACCTCCTGACTCCACAAAGCCTGTCCACCATCAACAAGGCTCAGGTGAGGAGTGGTGTAGAATACTCCCCACTTGCCTGGATGGGTACAACTCCAACAACAATCAAGAAATTTGACACCATCCTGGACAAAGCAGACCACTTGATTGACACCACATTCACAAACATCCAGTCCATCGACGACTGATCCTTAGGAACAACACTCACTGCAGAAACTCACCAAAAGCTCCTTAGGCAGCACCTTCAATGCAACAACCACTAGTAAGTAGAAGGATAAGGGCAATAGTACTAATCAACACCACCTGCAAGATCCCCTCCAAGCTACTCAACATCCTAACTCGGAAATATATTGCCATTCCTTCAGTGTTGCTGGGTCAAAATCCTGGAATTCCCTTCCTAACGGCATTGTGGATCAACCTACAGCACGTGGACTGGAGCAGTTCAAGAAGGCAGGTAACCATCACCTTCTCAAGGGCAGCTAGAGAGGGGCAATAAATGCTGGACAGCCAGCCACGTCCATGTCCAATGAATAAATAAAAAATTAACGTATGTCAGAGTCAAAAAGAACAATTTGTGACCGTACCACTTCCTTGATGGTGCCTGATTTTAACAGTCACCATGAGGAACACAATGATCACAATGTGATGAACACAATCACAATGAGATTTCCTTACAGAGTTGCAACACGTTTATGCTAATTAAAAAGAGAGGGAGTTACCCAAAGTTTTTTCACTCAGCTCATTTGTACTTTTATTAGTCACTGGCATGAACCCTGTGAAAAATAGCGGTAATTATCTGGAAACTAGAGAACACCTCCTGCCTCTCAATGTTGGCAAAACTAAAGAACTGATCATTGACTTCAGAAAGACAGGAGGAGAACACGCCCCCATTTATATCAACAGAGCTGAGAGAGTGAAGAGCATCAAGTTCCTCGGAGTGATGATAACTGATGACCGTCCTGGACTTCCCATGTAGATGTGACAGTGAAGAAGTCACAACAACGCCTCTTCTTCCTCAGGCGGCTCAGGAAATTTGGCATGTTCATAAGGACCCTCACCAAATTCTACAGATGTACCATTGAAACCATACTGTGTGGGTGCCTAACGGCTTGGTATGGCAACTGCTCTGCCCAGGACCGTAAGAAACTACAGGAGGTGGTGTCAACAGCCCAGACCATCATGGAAGCCAACCTTCCATCTATGGACTATATTTACACGGGTCACTGCTGCAGAAAGGTGGCCAACATCATCAAAGACCCATCGCACCCTGGTAATGACCTCCTACAACCTCTTCCATCAGGCAGAAGATACAGAAGCCTGAACACACGCACCAACAAGCTCAGGAACAGCTTCTTTCCAGCCGTTATCAAACTGTTGGATTGATTCTAGCCTCAAATAATGTAACCTGCTTTAAGTCCTTTCGATCTCTGCATCTTTTGCTTGCTATGGTCTGCTTGTACTGCTCGTAAACAAAGCATTTCACGGCATTTCAGTACACACGACAATAAATCAATCAATCAATCATTAGCCCATACAATTCAGCATCTGGCTAAACAGCAATAAGGAAAGAATACAGTGCCTGTCTTACACTCATGATTCTCAGATAATATCACTCAAGGGTTCATTAATCTTTCAAGTATATTTTAAGAATCACATCTACAATAGGAGCAATGGTACCAAGCAGGCTAAGGCAGAAGTCCAAAAGAGAAAAAAACACCCCCACACTCTCTTCAAGGAAATTGAACGCAGGAGATATAGACGCTTGGAATAACAATATCACTCCTGCTGTCTGGAGGGAAATGATACTCTCAAATCATGAGCCAATTCCCTCACTCCTTGACCTGCAAAACAGTTATGAAAGAAGATCATTGGCCTCAATGCATGTTGATTCCTTATGTACCTTTGCTACTTTGGATACTCTGCATCCTAGTAATGCAACACTTGTGCAAATAAATCATGATGTACACAGACCCATGTAAAGAAATATATGCATGCACTGCAGATGTGAAGAGCTAGTTCAAAGGAACACAATTAGAATTTTATTCAGATTATACTGGTCCGAATGGAACGCAGAGATAGCCAATCACACAGCAATAATTTGGGCAGTGAACTCACTAATTAATATATTAATTGGAACAGTGTAAGATAAACAGAAACTGCATTCTGTTCCAGATACTGAAACGTATAAATTGTTGAAACTGTGTCCCTTCAGTTAACCAATCATCCAGCAATGCTAGCTACTGTTGTATGTAGTAATGGTTCTGAGAGCTAACACTGAACTGTATTGAGCTCCACCCAGACTAATTATGCCTAATGTCCATATTTATTGTTATTGTGCAATAAACTATGCCTTGTTTTGCACAACAAATGCTCTTCTTGTCAAGACTCTCTCATGCTCTATCCTCTACCACAGCTAATTATACAGCTCCTCAGACTTAGCCTAGAAAGGAGGAGTGGTGGCAGCAAACTGCCCCATCAACAGACCACCAGAGGTTGGAAATGAGAAGATACAACATGCTGACAGCACTGGTATCTGAAATTACCGCAGTTACCACAAATTCATTGATAGTTGTTAACCAAATGTTCAGTATAAATCTGGAATTTCACCCACACCATCGCTCAGGCTCTTGATTATACAGCACTGCCACCTTCAGCCAGAAAAAGCAAATTTCTTCATAAGCTTTGTTAATGAAAGTAATAATGCCATCAGATTGAAATCATGCAGTGTAGCTTTTGTCCAATAGCTCAAACAAAATTGAATGGAAAAACATATCTGGTAAGTGGACTGTAAAGGAACTTCATGATAGCCTATTACCCTAATCTTAGACAACAATGTGAACATAAATGACTGGGGAGCAAAACAAGGATTTTCTTAGACTGGATGTGTAATCCTACCTTTTGACGTCATTGATTTCCAGGAGAAGACATTGATCTTATTCATGTTGAGGGAAGCCTCCCTTACCGGGAAAGTGGGACCCACCCAGTCCTAGAGCTGTTTAACCTAATGGGCCTCCCAGCCTCATCCCTGACCCTCTCCTGTTGGGCAATGAATTGTGTTCACGTGGGTAATGGCCTAAAGTGCCATTAATTGACTGCTTAAAGGCTTCAATTATGGTGAGGTTGGGCAGGCTACTCAAAGCCTTACCTACCCCTTTGCAAAATTATTGCCAAGTCAGCTACAGGCGTGGAAGTGGTAGGAAGCACATGAATTGAATTTACGCCTCTTCCCCCATACTTGATCCTTAAACTCTGCTCCAAATGATTGGACCATGAACTATAAAAATGTAACAATGTATCAGGGTAAGATAAATCAGGGCACGATTTGTACACTTGATGATGGGTTCCTGGGGTGTGTTGCCAAACAAAGAGACCTGGGGTGCAGGTCTACAGTTCCTTAAAGGTGCAGTCACAGGTAGGCAGGGTGGTGAAGGTGGCGTTTGATACACTTGCCTTTATTGGTCAGTGCATTGAGTATAAGAATTGGGATGTCATTGCGACTGTACAGGACATGGTTAGGCCACTTTCAGAATACTGCATTCAATTCTGGTCTCCCTGCTGTGGGAAAGATGTTGTTAAGAGTGTTGAAAGGCTGCAGAAAGGATATACAAGGATGATGCCAGGATTGGAGGGCATGAGTTAAAGGGAAAGCCTGAATAGACTGGGGCGATTTTCCAATGAGCATCGGAGGCTGAGGGGTGACCTTAAAGAAGTTTATAAAATCATGAGGGGCATGGATATGCTGAATAACCAGGGTCTTTTCCCCAGGGTGAGGGAGTCCAAAACTAGGTGGCACAGGTTTATATGGTGATGCGAATATGGAATGAGCTGCCAGAGGAAGTGGTGGAGGCTGTTACAACTACAACATTTAAAAGGCATCTGGATGGGTACATGAATAGAAGGCGTTTAGAGGGATATGAACCAAATGCTGGCAAATGGGACTGGATTAATTTAGTATATCTGATCGGCATGGACAAGCTGGACCAAAGGGTCTGTTTCCATGCTTTACAACTCTATGACTCTATAAGGTGGACTCAAATGAGATTTGAAGGTCATTGAGCCTACTTAAAACAATAATTTACATTTATATAGCACTACTACTGTCTCAACATGCTTCATGGTTTGTTACCACTATCTGTGCTTGTTCTCTAATCATTTCTGGGATCTGAGTTTATTGAGATTTGGGGGTGGTATGTTGTAAGTAAACATTAAATTCTATTGAACTTCGTCTTCTAACTACATACAGGACAAGATTTTACACAAGACTTCTAGATCGAAGTTTCCCAGTAGTTCTGATCATCATGCGGTTATACATCACTGATGACGCTGAATATCTTGCCTACATATCACCATGAGCCCACTACAATACTTGCAGAGCCATTATTGGATAAAACTTAAGGCCTAGACAGGTAGGAGATTTTAGGACGAGTGACCAAAAGCTTGATCAAAGAGAAGGATATTGGGAAGATCCTATAGGAAGAATAAATGGGGCAAAAGTTTGGGAGGAAATTCAAGAACATAAATGCAAGAAAGCTTAAGCTGTGGATAAAGTGATAAAATCAAGGGTGAATGAAAGACCAGAATTGGAAAGCTAAAGAAATCTTTGAGGACTGTAATGCTGAAGGAGATCATAGAGTTAGGGAGGGATGGGCAAATAGAAGACTTTGAAGATAGGTATGAGAATTTTAAAATTGAGGCTTGGCTTCACCGGGAGCTAATGGAGGCATGGAACAACAGGAACAATGGGTAAATGTTGCAAGTTTGGTAAAGGCTACAGAATTTTGAGTTTTACAGAGGATGCAGTGTTGTGGACCAGCAGGAAAGCATCAGAACAGTCAGGACTGAGGGTAAAAAAAAGGTATGAGTGGGGCTTTTAGAAGAAATGGATGATCGTAAAGAGATGTTATGGAGAAGATAAAAGCCAGGAGTTCAACTTGGGATCAAATAGGGATGCACACAGTCAAATACAGCCTCAGACAGAGTGTAGGAGGAGGAATGGAGTTGGTAGCTCACATTTGTGACCATGTATAAACAGTGCCTGAATGAGGAATATAATCTATAGTTTGGGCCCATGAAGCTCAGTCAAGCACAATTACAGCTTTTATGAGGGAAGCGGAAGAAACCAGAGAGAAAATTAAACTAATTATCAGCAGGATAATTAAACAATTGTTAAAATGAATGGTTAAAACGGTTAAACATGGATTAATTTTAAAAAGATATTAATAATAATAACTAATAATAACAATAACTAATAATAAATATTGATTACCTCAGCTTGTTAGGAAGTATGAAGTTCAGGTGGAGACTATCCAAGATGTCACATTTCTCGGTGGAGTTAGATGCAGACAAGCAGCCAACCTCACTCCCCAGTCGGCCTCGTTGCTCCAGTTCACCTGAGCTGCATTCCCATGATTCATCAGGATCTGCTTCATAAACAGTCAGGTAGTTTCTCCTAGCAATAGGTAATGAGATGGCAATTAATGAAGCGCATTGTATTCAGTGCTTTATTAATGAGAGCATAGAGAATAAAAGCAAAGATGCTGTAGGAACCAGGTTCAGCCTCAAATTGAAGGACTGCATGTGAAATAAAAACAGAACACATTAAAAATATTCGGTCACTCTGGCAGCATCTGCGGAGGGAGAGAGTTAATGTGAAAAAAAAAAGAAAAAAAACCAAAGAACTGCGGATGCAGGAAATCAGAAATTGCTAGAAAAACTCAGAAGGTCAGGCAGAACCTGTGGAGTAAAAGCAGAGTTTATGCTTCAGGTCCATTCTGACGAAAGGCCATTGATCTAAATCATTAATTAATTTTCTCTCCACAAATGCTGCCCACCCTGCTGAATATTTCCAAAATTTTTGGTTCTTTATGTGACCGAAACAACGTACGTGTAGATTTGTCAGGCTCCCTGCAAAGCAAATGTTTCTCACATTGGGCCCTCAGGTAATCTGTGTCCAAACCTGCACATTACCTTTCACTTGGCCAGTTACCATTAATGTTAATCATTTATCCTCCCTGCCTTCAGAGGAGATACCTACTCCCTTTGGCAAGGCCATAGCAGGCCCCAATGTGACTTGACTGCCTTTGGGTGCCAATCTCACCACGCATCTAATTTAGGCATTAGTATTTAATCATTAAGCTGCATGAAATGATACCACTGAAATACGGGGTCAGGACCTAGAACTTACATGGTGCTTTGAAAAGCTGGCCTTTCTTCCTTCTTTCTGTGGAGAAGAACATTGATACCATCTATTGCAGAGCAAGAATAGCACAATTCTCAATGAGAGATGGTGGTTTGTTGGCAAAGCCACTAGACTAGAAACCCAGAGACTCAAATTAACGCTTTGCACACACACTTGCAAATCCAGCCACTGCAGTTGGTGGGTATTTGTATTCAGTTAATAGACAAAAGTAGGTCTCAGTAATGGTGACTGCGAAATCATTGCCTACTGGCATAAGAAATCCATCAGTCCACTAATGTATTTTACAGGAGGGCACTTCCATCCTTACCTGATATACGTGACTCCAATGTGGTTGACACTCACTGTGTTCTGATATAGCCCAGCAAGCAAAGCAATAAGGGATGGGCAACAAATTCTGCTCTTGCCATTGACATTCAGATACAATGAAAGAATTAAGAAACATAATTCAGATCATGCAAGAAGTTGAAAGTTAAGCTTATAACTGTGCTTCAGGCACAAGGAAAGCTCAAGGAAATTCTAATAATCATACTAATCCAATGATTAACTGGGACAAACTAAACAGAAAAATGTCAAATTAAACTTTTTCAAAAAGGTTTTATTTATTGCTGACTGTATAAATGCAGCAGTAGTAACTCCAACCCGAAACGTCAACTTTCCTGCTCCTCTGATGCTGCCTGGCCTGCTGTGTTCATCCAGCTCCACAGTGTGTTGTCTCTGACTCCAGTGTCGGCAGTTCTTACTATCTCTCAGTTTGACCTTTATTGGGCACCACAGTGACTCAGTGTTGGCACTGCTGCCTCACAGCGCCAGGCACCTGCATTCGATTCCAGGCTTGGGTGACTGTCTGTGTGGAGTTTGCATATTCTCCCCCTGTCTGTGTGCGTTTCCTTTAGGTGCTCCAGTTTCCTCCCACAGACCAAAGATTTGTAGGTTAGGTGAATTGGCCATGCTAAATTGCCCCATAGTGTCCAGGGATGTGCAAGCTACGTGGATTATCAATGGGAAATGCAGGGTTACTGGGATAGGGTTGGAGGTTGGGTCTGGGTGGGATGCTCTCTGGAGGGTCAGTGTGGACTTGATGGGCCGAATGGCTTGCTTCCAAACTGTATACTTGACTGCAAACAGATGATCTTAGGCTGGGCATCTTAGCGGAAGCAGAACCAAAATTGGTTTCAATAGGTCAGGGTCTGAGCTTGCAGTTCAGTGCTTCACTAATGACTAAAATGATGTTGAGGCCTCTGGATCCATTTCCCAGTGAGAAGTGAAACAATGAGAAAACAAATAAAAATCAAACAAATAGAAAATGAAATCAGTTTTATGAAATGCAACTAAATCTTGAAACAGAAAACAATAAGAAAAACACCTACGCTCAGTTCTCAACAAACTGCACTTCCCAGTCGTGAACCATTTCAACTCCTCCAACTCCTTAGACGACATGTCTATCCTGGGCCTCCTGCAGTGCCACAACAATGCCACCCGAAGGTTGCAGGAACAGCACCTCATATTTCGTTTGGGAACCCTGCAGCCCAATGGTATCATTGTGGACTTCACAAGCTTCAAAATCTCCCCTCCCCCGACCGTATCCCAAAACCAGCCCAGCTTGTCCCCACCTCCCTAACCTGTCCTTCCTCCCACCTATCCCCTCCTCCCACCTCAATCCGCACCCCCATCTCCTACCTACTAACCTCATCCCGCCCCCTTGACTTGTCCATCCTCCCTGGACTGACCTATCCCCCCTCTAACTCACCACTTACACTCACCTTTACTGGCTCCATCCCCGCCTCTTTGACCTGTCTATCTCCTCTCCACCTATCTTCTCCTTTATCCATCTTCTATCCGCCTCCCCCTCTCTCTATTTATTTCAGAGTCCCCTTCCCCTCCTCCATTTCTGAAGAAGGGTCTAGACCCGAAACATCAGCTTTCCTGCTCCTCTGATGCTGCTTGGCCTGCTGTGTTCATCCAGCTCTACACCTTGTTATCTCTAAAAAAAGCTGCTGGAAATCACAACGGGTCAGGCAGCATCCATGGAGAGAGAGCAAACTAACGTGTTGAGTCTAGTTGACTGTTCATCAGAGCTCCCCAATTCAACCCAAGTTCCACAGATGCTGCCTGACTGGTTGTGATTTCCAGCATTTTTTGTTTTCAGTACAGATTCCAGCATCTGCTGTAATTCGCTCCTAAATCTTGGAATAGTTTGATTTACATTTTCAAGATCTTAAGTTATTTCCTGTGGTGGCAGGGTAGGGGAAATTACGGTTTTTTGAAAGCATTCAAGAGGGCATTGGACATTTTTTTGGATCGTAATGATGTGCAGGGATTATGGGGAAAAGACAGGAGGTTGACACTAGATTAATAGATCTGAAATGGACAATATAACTAGTACAGACATGTTGGGCTGAATGGCCTCCTTCTGCACAATAATAGTTCTGTCATTCTGAGAAGTCTAAGAATTGGGAGCAAAATGTAAAAAAATTAAAGCCAAACTTTCCAGGAGCTACTGAAAATGGTCATCAGGAACACAGCAGTCAACGTTGGCAGTGCTTTGGTCCATTGTTTAGTGGCCAGACTGAGACATCTGCCCCTCACTCAGGAGGAATCCCCAATTCAGGAGTGTGCCAACCATTCAGACCAGCTGGTAATTCTGCAGTGCCAGTGGAAGCAATAGCCACTGTTGAGACCACAAGCAGTCCCCAGATTCTAAGCCCCAGTCACAAGATGCACATTCAGGATGAAAGCAAAATGGGGAGGCCACAAGGTCGGGAAAGCTGAGAGGGTGGGATGTTAAGGTATAGAGGTTTATTGGAATGGCTAAGAGTGAGGCAGCCCCCATAGAGCACCGACCTTGGGAAAAGAGAAAGGTCTGATCAGGAGAAGGGGGCCAATGAGGCACCAGTATTTCACTTCCATATTTTTTCAACTAATTCTCAAATTGCCAGGGTGAAATATCTATATGTCAATGACTGAATCGGCACTGCCTCGTGTTCCCACGAGGAGCTCAAACAAATCATCCACTTCACCAACACCTTCCACCCCAACCTTAAGTTCACCTGGACCATCTCTAATACCTCTCTCTCCTTCCTGGCCTCTCTGTCTCCATCTCTGGCAACCACCGGGAAACTGATATCCATTTCAAGCCTACCAACTCCCACAGCTACCTAGAATACACCTCCTCACACCCACCTTCCTGCAAAAAGGCCATCCCCTATTCCCAATTCCTTCACCTCCACCGCATCTGCTCCCGAGATGAGGTATTCCACTTCCGGACATCCCAGATGTCCCCGTTTTTCAAGGACCGCAACATCCCCCCCACAGTGGTCGAAAACGCCCTTGACCGCGTCTCCCGCATTTCCCACAACTCATCCCTCACACCCCCTCCCCTCAATAACAACCAAAACAGAATCCCCCTCGTCCACACGTACCACCCCACCAACCTCCGGATTCAACGCATCATCCTCCGGCACTTCCGCCATCTGCAATCTGACCACACTACCAAAGACAATTTTCCCTCCCCACTCTTATCTGCTTTCCGGAGGGACCACTCTCTCCGTGAATCCCTCGTCTGTTCCACACTCCCCACCAGCCCCACCACCCCCGGCACTTTTCCCTGCAACCGCAGGAAGTGCTACACCTGCCCCTACACCTCCCCCCTTACTCCCATCCCAGGACCCAAGAAGACCTTCCACATCAAACAGATGTTCACCTGCATATCTGCTAATGTGGTACACTGTATCTGCTGTTCCCGATGTGGCCTCCTCTACATCGGGGAAACCAAACGGAGGCTTGGGGACTGCTTTGTGGAACACCTACGCTCGGTTCGCAACAAACAACTGCACTTCCCAGTCGTGAACCATTTCAACTCCCCCTCCCACTCCTCAGACGACATGTCCATCCTGAGCCTCCTGCAGTGCAACAATGATGCCACCCGAAGGTTGCAGGAACAGCACCTCATATTTCATTTGGGAACCCTGCAGCCCAATGGTATCAATGTGGACTTCACAAGCTTCAAAATCTCCCCTCCCCCGACCGTATCCCAAAACCAGCCCAGCTTGTCCCCACCTCCCTAACCTGTCCTTCCTCCCACCTATCCCCTCCTCCCACCTCAAGCCCCACTCCCAATTCCTACCTACCAGCCTCATCCCGTCCCCTTGACCAGTCCGTCCTCCCTGGACTGACCTATCCCCTCCCAACTCCACAGCTACACTCACCTTTTCTGGCTCCGCCCCCGCCTCTTCGACCTGTCTGTCTCCTCT